ACCCTTGTTTTTCTTGGATTCCAAGCACAAATCCTATAGGAAATTTCAATTCTCACCCTGTTCGGAAATACATTAAGTAGACTCTGTTTCGTAACAACATGTTGTTGATTATTGTCGCATGTTTCAAAGCCGTGAACGCCGGGATGTGTAACAGTAAAAACAAGGAGCCTTGAGCCCTGAGCAAAAGTACTGGTAATTATTCCAGCTTCTTGGCTTCTATCTCATTGTTGATTCGATGTTTATGATGATGACTATAACGACGTTCTATGTGGATGATAACAACGATGACTGATGATGGCCGATGCTGATTATGATGACGATTGTGAATATGTCGTTGGAGATGTGTATGATGATATGTGATGATGATGTTGATGATTATAAAACCTGGGTTCTACGAAGAAGACTAGGGCTATGAAGACGATGATGGTGGTTTGATAATTATGACGAGCATGATGATGGTTTTTAATAATTATGGCGAGGTTGGTGATGACCTTAATGGCGATTCTTCATATATTTATATCTGTTTACAGATATTACATATAGGTAGACACACACGTATATACATACATGTGTATGTATATACATACACAAACAATATATATATAGATACAGACATGTATACATATATATATATACAGACATGTTTGTGTATCTTCATATATATCTATATATACGCACCTATAAATATATACACATGCATGTATATACGTATGCGCAATTATGTATACGTTTGTATGTGTGTGTAAATGAGTACATACATAGGTACATACATACATATATACATACATACATAGGCAGATACATCCATACATGCATACATACATAAGCACATGCATACACACACAGACACACACACACACACACATAAACACCTACACATACGAACATACACACCTGCACCCCACACACAACATGTACATACATACAACATCATACATACATTACATGCATACATACAAACATACATACATAACACACGTTATACATACACACTAAACCCTAGGCCCTAAACCTAAGAGCCCTAAACCCTAAAGCCCAAACGAAGGCCTAACCCTAGCCCCAACCCTAGGCCCTAAACCTAAGGCCCCAAACCCTAGGCCCTAAACCTAAGGCCCTAAAACCCTAGGCCCTAAACCTCCCTAAACCCTAGGCCCTAAACCTGGCCCCAAAACCCTAGGCCCTAAACCTAAGGCCCCAAACCCTAGGCCCTAAACCTAAGGCCCCAAACCCTGGGCCCTAAACCTAAGGCCCTAAAACCCTAGGCCCTAAACGTATGGCCTAGGGGAGGGGGGGGGAGGGGCTGAAAATCGGGCAGCATTTCCTTCCCCCAAGCATGCCGGTAGAAAGGGGAAAAAAAAAAAAAAAAAACAAACCTCAACCGAATAAAAGGTAGAAAAAGGTAGAAAAAGGTAGAAAAAGGTAGAAAAAGGTAGAAAAAGGTAGAAAAACGAAGAAATGGGGGATACCGTGTGTGTGTACAAATGAAAAAAAATGGTGTTGGGAACCAGGCATGTCTTGACAGACAGGCAGAAACCGGAAGATTTTGGAAGAAAATTGCAGAATTCCGACGAATCTAGAAGAATTTAGAAGAATTTAAAAGCATGCAGCAGTCTTACGTAGAACAGGGAAGACTACAAGGCTTGCTCCAGACACTCGCACCAAAAGCATTTGCATGAATTTTGCATAAAAAAACAAAAAAATTTCCTCGCTTCGCGAACATCCATATTTGTTTTCAACTCTAGTACTCCACACACACTACAAGGCTTGCTCCAGACGCCAGACACTCGCATCAAAAGCATTTGCATGAATTTTGCATAAAAAAAACAAAAAAAATTTCTTCGCTTCGCGAACATCCATATTTTGTTTTCAACTCTAGTACTCCACACACACTACAAGGCTTGCTCCAGACACTCGCACCAAAAGCATTTGCATGAATTTTGCATAAAAAAACAAAAAATTTCCTCGCTTCGCGAACATCCATATTTGTTTTCAACTCTAGTACTCCACACACACTAATTACAAGGCTTGCTCCAGACACTCGCACCAAAAGCATTTGCATGAATTTTGCATAAAAAAACAAAAAAAATTCCTCGCTTCGCGAACATCCATATTTGTTTTCAACTCTAGTACTCCACACACACTACAAGGCTTGCTCCAGACACTCGCGCCAAAAGCATTTGCATGAATTTTGCATAAAAAACAAAAAATTTCTTCGCTTCGCGAACATCCATATTTGTTTTCAACTCTAGTACTCCACACACACTAATTACAAGGCTTGCTCCAGACACTCACACCAAAAGCATTTGCATGAATTTTGCATAAAAAAACAAAAAATTTCCTCGCTTCGCGAACATCCATATTTGTTTTCAACTCTGGTACTCCACACACACTACAAGGCTTGCTCCAGACACTCGCACCAAAAGCATTTGCATGAATTTTGCATAAAAAACAAAAAAATTTCCTCGCTTCGCGAACATCCATATTTGTTTTCAACTCTAGTACTCCACACACACTACAAGGCTTGCTCCAGACACTCGCATCAAAAGCATTTGCATGAATTTTGCATAAAAAAACAAAAAATTTCTTCGCTTCGCGAACATCCATATTTGGTTTCGACTCTAGTACTCCACACACACTAATTACAAGGCTTGCTCCAGATACTCGCACCAAAAGCATTTGCATGAATTTTGCATAAAAAAAACAAAAAATTTCCTCGCTTCGCGAACATCCATATTTGTTTTCAACTCTTGTACTCCACACACACTACAAGGCTTGCTCCAGACACTCGCGCCAAAAGCATTTGCATGAATTTTGCATAAAAAACAAAAAATTTCTTCGCTTCGCGAACATCCATATTTGTTTTCAACTCTAGTACTCCACACACACTAATTACAAGGCTTGCTCCAGACACTCACACCAAAAGCATTTGCATGAATTTTGCATATAAAAAAAAAAAATTTCCTCGCTTCGCGAACATCCATATTTGTTTTCAACTCTGGTACTCCACACACACTACAAGGCTTGCTCCAGACACTCGCACCAAAAGCATTTGCATGAATTTTGCATAAAAAAACAAAAAAATTTCCTCGCTTCGCGAACATCCATATTTGTTTTCAACTCTAGTACTCCACACACACTACAAGGCTTGCTCCAGACACTCGCATCAAAAGCATTTGCATGAATTTTGCATAAAAAAAAACAAAAAAATTCTTCGCTTCGCGAACATCCATATTTGGTTTCGACTCTAGTACTCCACACACACTACAAGGCTTGCCCAGACACTCGCACCAAAAGCATTTGCATGAATTTTGCATAAAAAAACAAAAAATTTCCTCGCTTCGCGAACATCCATATTTGTTTTCAACTCTAGTACTCCACACACACTACAAGGCTTGCTCCAGACACTCGCACCAAAAGCATTTGCATGAATTTTGCATAAAAAAAACAAAAAATTTCCTCGCTTCGCGAACATCCATATTTGTTTTCAACTCTAGTACTCCACACACACTACAAGGCTTGCTCCAGACACTCGCACCAAAAGCATTTGCATGAATTTTGCATAAAAAACAAAAAAATTTCCTCGCTTCGCGAACATAGCAAAGGGTTTCAATTTTCCACACACATAGTCTATTACTCTGTTACTCCATTACTCTATTATTCTATTACTCTATTACTCTATTACTCTATTACTCAAATACTCTAGTACTCTATTAGTCTACTACTCTATTATTCTATTACTCTATTACTTCACTACTCGATTACTCATATTTGTTTTCAACTCTAGTACTCCCACAAAGTGGGTGTTTTCACCCAAACCCTAAACCCTAAACCCTACACCTTTAGACCCGAACAACCGTAAGCCCTAAACCCTAAACCTTTAAACCCTGAACCTCGGAAGTTGGCACCCTAAACTTTGTGGGCCCCGAAGCTGACCAATACTAGACCTAGAATCTTTAAACCCTAAACCTCGGTGTTCCATTTTGGCAGGTCCTCGAGCCGTGCCAGGAAGCCTAAACCATGAGCCCTAAACCCTAAACCGTGTTTAAGCCTCAAATTGAAACCCTCACATAATTCGCATTTCTGCCACAATCTTCCAAATAATTTGTTTTTCTTCAATAATCTTCCAAATAATTCATTTTTCTTCAACAATCTTCCAAATAATTCGTTTTTCTTCAACAATCTTCCAATAATTCAACAATCTTCTTAAATCTTCGGTAGTGGCTGAGAAGTACCCCTGCTGAGAAATACCCCTAGGCTCATGAATGAGAAGAGGAGGCCGTTTTGTTCGATCGTGTCTTTTGTGCCGACTGCGGGCACGTGACTTGAACATTTGGGTTCCTTGCCCTAGTCGCCAGTAGGTTTTCTGCAGGCATTGGTGGAAAATGGCAGTGAACGCCTTGAGCAAATGCCATGCCTGTCTCTCCAAGGTGATGATCGCCTAGACATCGACGAGTACGAAGCACTAGTGAGAAAAGCCATGCCAAGCATGCAGTGACAAAGACTCGACTCAACTTGGTAAGCAATCCCAACAGCAAGCCGCTGAAGCTCCTGGAACCTTGCCGGAGTTTGGCACGTTATGCCCGAGGCATGTGTTGGCAAACAGTTTCGGCCGTGCTTCAACGCCACTGTCGCTCTAGGACATGACTAGTTATCGCAATCCCGCTTGTGGCTCTACGCTGCGGATCCGTTGTTTGATGTGGAGTGAGTGACCAACGTCCGAAGTGTTGGGATTTCTTGTCCAGTGATGGGCACGATGCCTCTAGCACGCGAAGCTTCGTTTATCAGCAGGCCGCAGAGTCCATATTAAAGCAAGTCGGTACTAAAAGCTACACGCTATGAAGATTACTCGGGCCTGTTTCTCCAAGTCTGTGCCCCGAACTATTCTGCATAGACCCGAAGGGTCGGAGATGCAGGCAGATAGCCGAGGTAACAAAAGGCAGTTTGGATGATAGCATGGCGCTGATTGAGGCTTGCTTCGCCCCGGTCACATGCAAGCAGAGGTTGTCATCACCCGCATTTCCTCCGAAGTTGCCGCCGGCCTTCCGAGAAGCCAGCAACCTCAGGACTGCGTTGTGCTCGGCCTGCGTGGCTGATGTGTTACTGGCCCTGGGAAGGAGATGGACCTGTTGGAGACTCCGCTGCCTGGTGAGGCACGTACATTTGCGAATTTCGGTTGGGGCAGAATGGGCAGACGTGCGAAGAGAGACTGCCTACACATTTACCGTTAGGAGGAAGATGCCTTGTGTGCACTCAATTGAGGATCTGCTGCTGCATGGCTTCTTGGATGCGATGCTTTGATCATCCTCGATCCTAGAAGTGCAGCCGTGCGCTGTTGACCAAAGTTGCCCGGCCCGCGACTTCAGCGGCTCAGCGATCTGCCGAGGCTACTGCCGTGGCAGTGCATTCTGCACCTTTGCCTGCAGAGCTCTGGCCGTGTCCGGCGAAATCCTGCGATTCGAGGCCTTGTGCCTAAGCCAGAAGCACTCCGCTACAGAGAACTTGGTGGTTTCAGGTACGTTCGGACAATCTTCCGGAGACGGGCGTCCGCCTGTCGGATTCTTTGCTGCAAATCAACTGGCGCTGGTCCCTGGTTGCTTTGCCAGGCTTCCGGAAGCCCATTGACAAACAGAAGAGGTCAAGCAGTGGGGAGCTCACAGTCTGGTGTCCCGGCACCTAGAGTATCCTAGAGTATCCAAGAGCCTACAGAGCCAGGGGTTTCGCAGTCTTACAGCATCCCGGAGTTTTGGAGCATTGCGGCTTTCTCTGCAGGTCGCAGTGCACATGGGTCTGTGGCGCGAAGGCTCAGGCAGGCCAAGTCGAAGTCGCACCAGGTCGAGAGCAACAATAGCTCGGCTCGTTCCAGTTGTGAACTTTTTCATAGTGCTTTACAATGAATCTCGCTTTGCAGGGCTGTTCATAGTATTGACTAGTGTTTTACCACCGGTTCATCCAGCACCATTTCTGGCACGGGGAAGGTTTCGCAATGCGGCACTAATGCTGTATGCTGTGCCTCTCTTCAACCGCGGTTCAGGCGTGGAGGGACGAGCGACGCTTCTACGAGCACTAGGTGCTCCGTAACATCTCACGAAATAAATGGCAGGCTGAGCAAGGTGCAGGTGAAAGGTTTGGTTTGAGAGTGGTGGAGTTCGCAGGAATTCCCTCGTCCCTGCGACAACCAGCACCTTTGCCACGGCGAGTGTGGCTGAGCCTAGCGCCTGCTTCTAGCCACCTGCAGTCCAAGCTCTTGGGCCCAAATATGTCCACATTGCAGTTCAGCCAAAACCTGTCGAGCGGCCACCGCAGCATCGGAAATGCAGAACTGCACTTCGTAGCATCTTCATGACTGGTGTTTGCCCTGCTGTCCGAGTTGCATGACCGGGCGGCGCGGCACGAATGATGTTCTCAACGGTGCGGAAGCCCGTGACAATTGGAGAGTTGTGAAGCTCGTCCACACGGTCCATGCAGGCTTGTGCTGTGAATGAGCCGAGGCATCTACGAGGTGGGCCCATGCTACAGCGGCAACTGCCGGGCAATTGATTCAGAAGTTGCTTTGTGTTCAGATTAAGCCTCGGGCCCATTCCGCCTTGTCGGTTTTCGAATCGGCTGACCAGAAACCGCTTGGATTCACCAGGGTTGCAATGGAAGTTGTTGCAGCGTTTGCACGCTCAAGGCGGGGTGCTGAAATCTGGACTCCGCCGAGGTAGTAGCATGAACGCCTGTGTGCAGTCTATCAGTGAGCCCACAGCAAGACAGCCCACCACACCTCTCCGTAATATGAGCCTGCAGACATCTCAGAAACGAGAGAGCATGTTCTCGAGCAAAATTGGTAGCATTCACGAACAGACCGTAGCCTGATGCCATCCCCGAGGAGCGCGGAGCACACAAGCAGTGAACTGCAGAAGAATGCGTCGATTGCTGACCTGCCGAGTTGCTAAGTCCCGAAATGCAAGTGGACGTGTGATTCGGCCACCTCAAAACTGGATACTATAGTTACTATGCATTACGACCGTCGCTTGCCTCTTTGCTGGTGCAGGGGCCGCACTCCCGATCCAGGTTTTTGCTGGCCGCCGCTCACTCGCAGTCTGAGAGGTGACAATTTGGCTCCCTGGATACGCTGTGCTCGCTGCGCTCGCTGCGGTGTTCTCAGGTCTTGCACTCAGCGAGGCGAGGGCCGAAGCCTCTTGGATTGGAGGTCAGAAGGTCATGTCATCTGTGAAATCCTATCGCTCAGCGTTAAGCTTTCCGAGGGGGGAGGTCGAAGGTAGCCTGCTCAATCCGCAAACCCGGAGACTGCTCGGGGTCCGCGTGCTGTGAAGCCTTTCTGCCTCGCCCCGGACGGATATTAGCATTTGAGGCTCCATTCGGCGAGGGCCCTCCAGTGCCAGCAGCTCTCGTCCGCCCCGTGGTGAGCCAACCAGTGCACGCCAGAAGGCGGCACAGGGCAAGCATGGCAAGTGAGGATAAGTGATCAGAGTGATCCGCGGTCCACGCATTGCGGCGCGCTGCTGTGCTTCAGGAGAAGCTATTCAGCAGCTTTCGACCGCAATTTTTTCTCGCCCGCAAGGCAGATGTCGGCGCAGTGCCATCGCACCGCGAGCTGATAGGACATGCAGGGCTTCCGTCGAATGTTCTTGCCACGATCACGTACGCACACACACACACACACACACACTCCTGGTGCTTGCTTGGACGCAGAGGTGTCGAAGGTTCACCTGCAAAGACAAGACACCAGTGGAAAAAGGTGGAGGTTCTTAGTCATCGTCAGAAAGTGTAAGTACTGAAGCTTCATGAAGACTTAACTATGCTTCGAACGCCGCTTGCTGGAGGACCGTCAACGGCTTTCCAGAGCGGCGACGCCCTGCCCGATCTTGGCGGCATCAAGCAGGATGGGCTCTGCCGTTTGAGATGGCAAGAATTCACGATTTAGAGCTTCGGAGCGTGGGTGGACTGGCTGGCTGACACTCAGAGCCCAGCTGCAAAAGAGGCGTTTCATGAAAAGCGGTTTAGAGTCTAACAACTGCACAGACTGCACAGAGAGGGACTTGAGCTAGGCGGGAATGCTCACTTCAGAAGAGTTGGAGTCAAGGGCTTTGGATCTTGAGCATTCCCACGGGTTGGACGGACATGACGGGAGCCGTGCACAGCGTCAGGAGTTGGCAATGATTCGCCGACAGCTGTCTTCCATCTTGGATGTCCAGCATGAGCTGCAGTCAGTACTACATCAGGTTGGGAGCAACTTGGCACGATGCATCTGTCTTCCCAGTAAACATTTGCACCAGGACGGCCCTTGCATGGCATGCATGGCTGAGGCGACGTCTCCAACTTCCTGATCAGCCCACATGCTCCTGGTCATAGTCGCGATGGAAAGGCGAAGGCCATCCGGCCCAAAGGAGGCCTCCGGCATGGTCCGACAATGACTCACGGCGTGAGTGGTGCTGCCGAGCAAGAAGGCCGGCTCGACAAGCTGCCTCGTTCCACCCCAACCCTCATCCATGTAGGGGCCGTAATAATTACCTATGTTATGTTGGGGTTCTTTGTTATGATTATAGTCTAACAATCTCCATCGCAAGGCGTCGAGGACGAGCTGGATGATCGAGAGTCCGTCGAGGATGCAGAGGAGGACACGAAGCCCCGTTTTGGGTTGTTCTCCTTGAAACAGGCCTCGCACTCAAGATGACACCTCTTTTTGCTCGAGCGCCGCTGGCACTATTGCAAGCGAAATTTGGCAAAGATTGGACCGTCTCTCTACTCAGGTGCACGACAGAATGAATGTCCGACAATCCATCCTGGTGAACCTCGTCCGAATTGAACTACGTGCGAGGGGCCGCTGCTGCACCCACCCGTTGTTGCACCCACTTGGTTACCCAGAGTCGTCAGTCGCTCTCCAGGAAGGATGGTGAGGAGGCTGTGACATGGCAACTTGACGGCATTACAGCCCCGTGCAACCGGAAAGCATCCCCTTGAATGTTTGATTGAAGCTTGTCTGCGAGCAGAAGTCCGAAACAGCAGGCACTCAGCCTCGACCCCCCAGCCTTGGGACTTTGGAAACCATGCAAGACACGATCTCCGCACACGGAAAAGCCTGCGCTGCAATGCCGCAGGGCCGAGCGCCCGGGAGTCCCGCCCGCGCATGGTGATCCCCCGCTGTCGAGACTTTTCGAGACTTATTGAGTCGCTCCGAGCCGGCCCATCGTCCAAACAAGCCTCTTCTCGAGATTTGTCCACCCTCCTCCTCTTTCGGGCTCGCGTGCAGCATGGCATCAGCTCAGCTAACGACATGACACAAGCGGCAGCCGCGCACGCATCAAAAAGAGAGGCCGCCTAAGCAAGAGCCAGGACTTTAGCGGCTCTTCCTTCAGTGCGAGGAAACAAAGAAACAGAATCTCATGGACCACGGGACGGGCTGCTTCTGCCAGGTCTCCTGAAGATGAGATGAGACACGCCGCAAAGCTGAAACCTTTAGGGAATGACGAGTGTTTCGTGCACGATGCTCCACGCAGTAGCATGCAGTAGCATCTGCCCAACCAAGAATCTGAAGACCATGTTCGAGAAAGCTGAGATGGTCATGCAGCAGGAGTGTGGTGCTGAGAAACATTCCCATTGAGCTCTAGCTCGCAGCCGGGTCCTGCGTGAAGGAAGCCGCTGCTTTAGGCCCTTACAGGGTTTACGGGTCAAGCAACGACAAGCCTTCCGCTGAATGTTCGTCTGAGGCTCAAGCTCAAGATGGCCAAAAGAGACCGTGCCCTGGCGAAGCCTTCATGTAGCAGACACCTAGCACAAGAGAATGTGTCCGAAGATCTGCGAAGTCCAAACCCTCGCGTGCTGCTCGGAGGATTTCGATATTGGTATGATCAGATGTGGCAGATTTGGTGTCTTGGCAGCTACCGCCGGGTCTTGGAATGACTGGAGTGGAGGAAATATGCATTTCAATTTCTGTGAGAATGTTGTGCGAAGTCTGTGAGTTTGGAGAGGCCCGTGAGAGGAGCCTGTGAGGATGTCATGAGGAACTTGCGAGACATCTGTGAGAGATCCGCGAGAGATCCTGAAGAGGTCTGGAAGACTCGCTAGGTTAAAACTGTCCGATATGTTGTTGACACCGTCTCACGAGAATCCAGGGAAGGGAGGCAATAGCAGTCTGTGTCATTCCTAACAGGCCGGCAGAGCCGAAAATCTCGGGCCTGGGGCTGTAAAAAAAATCTGCGCGAAAGCTGTGAGCTACCTGAGCTACCCTGCCTCGGAAAATTTCCAGCAGCCCGGCCTGGGCCCGGCGGGCCAGGCCCGGTCTGAGGGAGTCCCCCCCGGCCGGACCCAATATCCACCGGCTTACAGGTTTCTCACAGCTTTTCGCAGAGACCCTGTGCAACAGGATTTCATGCCTTACAGATTTTCACAGATGCTACAGATTTCTGAAGAAAGAAGACAAGTTGATGATTCCCAATGATTCCACGCCGTCGTCGGTGACAAAGCTACTGTTCGAGCTGCTTGCAATTTGGAACGAGGGCGTTGGATCCGAAGTTTGCATCCACTCAGGAAATCAAACGAGCGCTTCTCTATGGCCCTCGACGTGTGCCTTGGCGGGACGTTGGTGGTCTTCAGCGGCTCGTTTTTCTCAGGCAGAACGGATTAGGCAGAGCGCGAGCAATCTGCAATGTTGCTTGCTGCTTGGATCGCGGCAACAGTGGAAGGCAGTGCGGGAAGAAGATGGAAGCAGGCGTAGCTACCTCAAACGTAGCAAACGAGGGGCAGTCATAACAACTGAAAGGCAAGAACTGCCGAGAAGAGCCGAGTGTCAGGCTGTACTTTACATTACGTACATGTTTGGCCTTCAGAAGCCTTTGACATGCCGTGTGACACGAGCAACAGAGGAGCTGTGAATGCGGGTGGGCCCATATTTCTCGTTTCTCTTTAGCTGGTTCCATTTGTGATCAAGATTGATCAAGTGGTCTTGACTAGATGCCTGTAACTTTGGTGCATATGGCATATTGCACAACCACCGTCTCTTGTGTCAATAAAATAGCGAGGACTGAGCCCTGAAGAGGATGGTTGATCCGTTTGAATGTACAGAGGTATTGAGTAGTGAAAAGATAAAGGACTGGAGAGAAGATGCGTCCTGGCATCTAAGCCTTGGGCCGCAACATTAAGTAAAGACAGATCCAGCACATGTACAGTAAAGATTTCCCTAGACTGAGGTTCGTGAGCATCACGATTTGCTTGAATGTTGCTTGAATGCACCAAAGTCCGATTGTGGTTCCTCTCGGTGACGCATTCTGGTTTGATGTGTTCTGGATGCCCAAGAGCACAAGTGCTGGTAGCTGCTGCAAACTCCCTCGTGCCACTGCGACACAAGAGATGCACTTGCACATAGGGGCGCAATGCCGATGAGTGGATGTTACACGGCCCTTTGCGTAGGCGGCATTCCTTGGCGTGAGCATGGACTGGTCTGACGGATCATTACCGTGGATCGTTACCAACCTGGCGGCTTTGCCAGCATGGGAAATT